GCTAAGAATATCCCGAAACTTTTAAGATCTTAACAAATACTCCTGTCAAGAAAACCGCTAGGAAGACAAAACGAACGTCGGAATCGCCAGCAGGCTGACCAACAAGCCATGCAGCACTGGTCAAAGCAACTGGAAAAGTTGTCAACTGCATAGCTGGAGAACCAGACCAAAAACTGATGGCTGATTCTAATATCTCAAAGAAATAGGTTAAATATTTACATAATTCCTCTAGAAATTCCAATGAGTAAAAAATTTTTGACGTTTAATTTACTTCAAAAAAAAATTTTCTTGTCTATTTCTAGGGATACTTTACATAAAATAGGATGCATTACGAGTAGCTAATAACACAGATGGTATCACCAGGCAGAAGCAGTGAGCATGTGGAACAGGTGACGTTAGTTGAAACAACAAAATTGAACAAATTAGGTAGTTAATGGACGGATTGTGTGTGTATGTGTGGATGTGTTTTTGTGTGCTGTGCTAAACAAGGATATAAACTTGGTCTTCATGCTTTTTTTCCTGGGCACAGTTGGCCAAAAGCTTTTTTTTTTGCAAATCATTGGAAAGATCTGATAGCAAGGTTCACCTCGCCCAAAAAACTAACCAGCAGAACCAAGAATAACAAGACTGTCAAGACAAATGGCATGAGGACTCCATGTTATCAGGATGCTTTCACATGACAAGTACGGTTATGTAACTAACTCGGTCAGTTACAACTCCCGCCATTTTATTATGCCGAAAATTACCAGCACAAATCTATCACCAGCCCGACATTCCTGCTTGAAATGACTAATTTTTGCTGGACTTCCATGACCCTTTCTTTCTTTTCTATTTCTTAAACAGTTTCACTACGGAAGTGTAAATTGATTTTTTTAAAAAAGTGATGATTCAAAGCTAATATGTGAAGCTATCTTCGTCAACTACACCACTGAATCTTGATAAAAAATCGCTATAACACTGATGAGTCAATGTTATCGCGAGAATTTCCGCCTGCTTTTACCGATAGCTGATGGACGTCGCGTATTAGACAGTGGAATGATAAGTTGCGACCGTTTGAAAACCGAATCGTAGAAGTGGACAGTCCAAAATGTGGAATGGCCGGAGCAGGATCAATCGTGGGATAAAACTGACTAAACAATTTGCGCCCGTTGGTAGACCGAACTGTAAACCCCGAAACAAGCGGGCAGTCCGAACCATGGAAAATGTGGAATGGCCATAGTCCGTGAATTTCAATCTAGGGCGGGATTACTTTAACAGATTATGATGGGAAAGATAGTAGGGCTGTTAATGTGGTACAAAACCGTGTGATATGCTGAAAGGAATTCGCGAAAAAGTAAACGATCATTTCGTAATGGTCTCCGAAAAGATGGTGCACATACATCGGCATGTGGTGAGTACTAACTGGAGGTATGCAGTCCATGATCGAACAGTCATGCCAGCTGCACTAGGCGTGTGAAAGCATCCCAGTAACATCACTAATAGAAGATTCACATACCAGCTGTATGCCTTGGTATTCTTGAAAAGTACTGGAAAATTTGGAATGCTACTAAAATGCTAATGAAAATAATCAAATTGACAGCGTTAAAAGGATGATATTCTTGATAACTCTTACGAAATGTTTGAAAGAATTCAAAAACCCGCCTAAAATTGACAAAATATTTTTAAAAAAACACTTTTAATTATCTAAAAAGAAAAAAAAAACTAAATAGATAGGAAAAAAAAGAATGATTACTAAGAGATCCGTCTTTTACAGATTTGTTAAATAGAATCGCATGGTACCACCATCCACATTTGCTGCATTTTCAACACCGCTTACCATTGACGGAGCACTATGCGGGATGATTGTTGGTTGCTGCGGTGGCCATGCTACTGCTGCTGCTGCTGCTCGTCCTGTTTGTTGTGCTACTGCTGCTGCTGCTACAAGTCCAGGTGG